GGGCCTACGGCCCTCGGGAATTTTAATAAATGACCCTCGTCGAGCGGGTGGTTTAATGACTAATACTCCTCATTTCATGATATTACTTATAATAAATGAATAAATCACATATCCCCGAGGTGCCTCAAAATAACCTTTTCTTATTAAACATGTGCTCTTTAGCAATGAATTAAGAAAGCAAATTGACCACTAGTCATGCGATTCACCAAAGCAGTAAATTAAGATTTGGCTTTTGAAGTTGACGTTTGGCGTATAAATTTCATGCTTTAACGACTATACAAGCCCTCGTAGCAGTTCAAGCATGAAAATTATACGCCAAACGTCTACTTCAAACGCCAAATCTCAATTTACTGCTTTGGTGAATGGCATGACTAGTGGTTAATTTGTTTTCTTAAATCATTGCTATAAAGAGCACAAGTTTAATAAGTTTAACATATTTCAAAATTGGTGTCAAAGCTATTATAATAGCCAGCGGTTTGACGTTTGCCGTAAACGTCAATCTAAAGGTCTCTATTTACATATACTACATGCATGCATGCATGCATATTTACGCAAGTGTGTTTGAAAGCTCAGAATAAAACTAAATACATGGTGTAAACATACAAATTGTTCCTTATTTTTAAGTGTGTTTTAGTTCACGAAATGCTAAGAGTACTTGATATATACGTATATAGATAGAGTACTCTGGGTACTCCGGTTTCCTCCCACAGGGAAAGTTGACAGGGTGGGTTAGGTAAAAGGGCCCACAGTAACTGGTATATCGCGCATAAACCCAGTAATTGGCATATGCTGTTGTGGTGACCCTGCCTTAGGTGGCAAAGCTAAATAAATAAATAAAGCGAATAGTATGTATAGTTTTGCTCACCCCAAGGTTGCCAACTACAGCCCTGTTTCATCCATGCAATAAAGGAATCAACAGGTGGCTGCATGTATTAAATACAGGTTCGACAAATTATTTTATTTGCATGCACTACCGAAGATCTGGGCTATACGGATCAAAGCGTATATAGGCAAGGTCACTTGATTGGCATGGTTCAGCCAAGATTTCTTTAACCCCATATATTTGTCCACCTTCAAAACGTTTTATCGTATGTATGATAATCAACGATAAATTTTATTACCTTTATTGACCTTGCAAATAAAATATTTACTCTCTATGCACGACGAACAACGAAAGTTTGCATTATGCATATAAAAGCAGCGACATGGGTCGTCTTGGCATAGGGCTTGGGACTCTTTAGCTTTATTTTTCGCAAAATCAGTGCATGTTCCATCACTGAATTCATAATACCACGTTCCATTCTGTTTCGTTCTCTTCAGGCCTGTCCAGTAATAATCATGCTCACGTTCATCAGATCTTGTTGTATCAGTAAGATCTTCCCATTCATGGTTGGTTTTGAAACTGCACAGTGTACCATTTTCGTAATTTTTCGCACAATATTCTTGCGCGTCATCTTGATCAAGAGATTGCCTGATATAAATGTACTTGGAGCCATCTAAAAGAGTTTAAAAAACATTAATAATTCATGATTAAAATTATTCATGCATGAACCAGTTGTTGTATCCACACATAAACAGAATTCTCTAATTTGCATAAACCTCTTTGTCCATTTCCACATGCAGTCAAAATCATTTTGTTCTGAATAATTATTTAACACAGTTATACATTTACATCCAAAAGTTCATTCTATATAGTATATTAAATAAAGGTCTATATATTCTAGTATATTAGGCTAAAGCCTTTTTATACAGGCCTATATTCTGGTATATTAAAGCCGTATATAAAGGCCTATTTTAATATTAAATATAGTTATTAATTAAATGGTTACCAAGCGACATCAAAGCACAAATTAACACAGATCTTATATATAGGAATAAAAATTAAAGCTCCGAAAAAGTTAACATTCCGAGCATACAGAAATTTAAAAAATTATTAATATAAACATTAAAGAACAGTTATATGCATGCGGGATTGTTATACAGTTACAATGTCATTTCGTAAAGTGAAATAACCACGTTTCAAACATTTTCATTAACTGTTCTTCATCAAGCTTTTTTCACTGTTGTTGCTATTGCTACAGGCTAAGCATGAAATAGGGAAAAAAATTTCGTCGGAATTAATTTCTGTCCAAATTTCAGAAACTCCGGGATGGTTTTATTTGTCAGTTTTGAGGTCAGATTCATGAATCAGTTCAAGGAAAGAGTCTTGTACAAGGAGTCAAAATGTACCCCCTCCATGTAAGAGAATGGCATTGGAAGTTGCAGCAAAAATTGCCTCATTGTATGACATGGCCTTTATATTTGTCCTATTCCTGCATGCTTTCATTAAGAACTCGAAAGCTTTTGGCCACTGCGCACGGATTAATGGGTTGTATATATAATTCAACTCATGTTATACACATGCATGTATAGTATACTTTTATATTATACGTGTAATTTTACCAATATATGGATTGCTATGCTAATAAAATATTATTCTTTCCGAACAATAATAACTAGGCATGTGTGAGATTCTAAAAGTTATGAATTGAGTATATAGAAATGGCATTAAAACAAGCGCGTTAGCCAAATTTTTTTGCGAATTTTAATCACATCGTACTAAAAAAATAGGATGTATTTCTGCGCGTGTATATCTACCAAACCTATAGTAAAAACAAGTAAGAATGAACTGTTCCACTCACCATCACTTTCTCCAGGGCAAAATCCACAACTGACGATGATCAAAAGGCTGTAGGAAATCATTTTTCCACATACAAGTTTCCATTAACTTCTGCTCGTTCTTCACCTGCGCGCTGTTATATATATTAAATTGTAATGATGAAAACGCAAACTTTATGAAAGTTGTGTCAATTAATAAGACGCTATAATGCCAAGGTGGTGGTTATTTTAATATATATGTATTAATATAATATATTCTACAGACAGTATACCGTTTCGGCCTTATGGGCCTCATCAGACAGTGTAGTGCTGATGAGCAGGTTTCAGTGTAGTGCTGATGAGCTGATTCATAAAGACTGGCCAAAGGTGAAATTGCTGCTTTTGCATCAGTTAATATATATAAAAATTCAAAACGTCACTCGAAAAATTGATTTTCAATTCAATCAATAATTAAAGATTGATATCGATTTAATCGAATTCCCCGTCAGAACAGTCTAACAAAGACTGAAATTGGAATAAAATATATTGTAATGTTAAAGTTGAAATTATAAGAGCTCATTCTCTAGTGATAACAATGTTTTATTTGCAGATTCTACTCATTGAAGGCGGTCATTTTGTTCGGAATTTGTTAAAACCGATCCCAATTAGTTAATTAACAATTATTGAACGAGGTTGAGCACGATATGAAGAATTATCAAGCCCGAAGTTTGCCGTTATCAATAATTGTTTTATTATTTATTTAAAAAATTCAAAACAAACATTTGTATTTTATTTGTATTAAGAAAAAACAATTCCTTAGTCCTTCGGCAGCAGTCGTTGCATCATATCAATGGCGTCAGCGAGTCAATATGATTCTCGTCGTCATATAGTAATATGGCGCAAACGCGTCCAAAGTTTTTTCATATTGACTCTTTGACGTCATTTTGCTAATATGAATGTGAAAAATCCGTATTTGGTAGCCATTGAGTTGATATGACAATTTCACAGTTGGCTGTTAGCCAATCAGAAACCAGGAATTTTTTAAATAAATAATAATAGTAATTATTGAACTGCTAGTTTACTCAGAGCGTCAATCCCGCAGCGTGTGTGTAATTCTTCCCATGCACAAATCAAGCTGCAACTCAGGCAATACAATAAACTATAGCCTGCAAGCGGGCTGTTCATCCCGCCACATGGACGCAATTTGTTCTAAAAATCAGGTTGAAAACTCGGGCAGTATTTAATGTACTGTTCAATAAACGAGCAGGAGTATTTTATCACATATAAAACACAACGCGTAGCGGAGTGTTTTATATGTGATAAAACACGAATTACGAGTTTATTAAACAGCTTCAAAAACGTCTCAGTTAGATCACGGCATTGGCGAAATAATTTTCCAAAATAACTTTGTATTTAGCTGAGAAAATACAAGGTGAAATTTAAAGCGTGTTTTATCACATATAAAAACACGCCACGCTTATGATTTCTCTTTGTGTTTTCCTCATGAATTATTAATGAGTTTTTGAAATAAACTTAGTTGCTGTCTGGCTTGCTGATTTTTTTTAGTCCTTATCTCAGTTTAACAGGAAGACCAAAATATTTATTTTTCAATCGTCAAGACTGCTTTGCAATCTAAAAGATGGAAAAGCGGTCTACAGCTGTCGATTGAAAAGAGTTTGTACAGTTAATTGAGACATTGAATTGACCACTTGCGTAGACAAAAATTTCATCACAGCTTGAAAGAGCATCACAAAATTAGTAATATTCCAAAGTTTCGTTGCGAAATGTTG